TAATAATTTTTTTAAATGATTTGGATACCTTGTATAATAAAATTTATTTGTTCATCTGGGATAGTTTTTTTCTACTTGTAATATTTTAAAAACCGCATCACAACCTTTATTGTGGGGAATAACTGTATATAGAGATTGAACATCACAAGTGATTAAAATGTATTCAGGGTGCTAGATAAAATTATTTAAAAAGCCGAGGAGAGTCATGGAGTCTTTAAGATACGACTTCATGATTTTAACCAAAGGCTGTAATAAAATGTCTATATACTCTGAAAGGTTGGATAGAACAGAGTTTATTCCAGAAACAGGAATTTTTTTCATTTTTGTGTATTTTTGGTAAAAAAATGAATTACTGGGATTTTAGGGTAGGGTACATTAAGATAATCAAATTATTTTTTTTGTTAAAATGTTCGATGCAAGGCTTTCATTTAAAAACTATTCTAAAGATTTTTTGACTGAGAGGGTCGGGTCTGATGGTAATTTACCATAAACTGTCGGATCATTAAGATGTCTAAGTGCCTAGTTTATATACATATCATTAGAAAGAATAACTATACCCCCCTTTGTCCACTGGCTTAATGACAATACTTTCGTCTTCTCGTAGTTCTTTAAGTGCTAATTGCTCATGATGGGATAAGTTGTGATCTTGAAATTTCTGTTTTTTTTATTTTTTCCAGATCACTGTTAACTAACTTTTCAAATACTTCTATTGGGCCTGGTTTAAAATTGGAAGGATAAAAATTGGAACTTTTTTAAAATTGGGTTACCTTTCTAAAGAATTTAACACCTATAAAAGCTTGAAATGATTTAAAAGGATTTGTGGGAGCAAATTTGAGGCCTTTACTTAAGACAGAGATCCGAGTGCAGATTAAAAAATCTTGGGATAAGTTCAAAATTCCTAATGATTGTTCATTTAGATGGGCTGGTGTCTTTCCAATCTTTCTCTTTTGTGTTCTTCTACCAGCTCTCCCTCCTCTATATTTAAGCTTCTCTTTCTTGCTCTCAATGGGTAAGGTGTGTGAGGGAGGGGGATTGCACGGGTTCTGAATTCTAAACATTTTTCCTCATTTTAGGCTTCTAAATCTATGAATAGTAGTTTATATCTGTTTTGATGGCTGTAATTTACTGGGGATTTGGAATGATAAGTTAAGTCTTCATTTTTGTATGTGTATCTCTGTCTGTAAAGTCTAGGGGAAGTGTCGTAGTTGGTTCTCCTTTTTACAGGAGGATTATGAGTAGTGGATTTAGTATATGTTTGAGTAGGATAATTGATATAATTTGGTGATGGGATGTGATTCTAGGGGGTGTATTTAGATGTTTTGTGGTGTATTTGGGGTGATTGGTAATTTCTATGGTGTTGAATGTATGCATAACCATTTGTATATCTTTGATTAAATCTACCAGAAGGGTGTGAAGAAATATGATGTTGTCTTACATAGGGATTAGTGTTTTGTAGGTTAGTGTGAGTATTTGGTCTTGGTTTTGATAATTTAAAAATTGGTAGAAGTGTCTGAACTGTATATTTCTTTTAAGTGGTAAGTGCGAACTTGGTCATGTGCATAGTCTTGTTTATCGCGGACATATTTTTTAACTTTAATGTGTTTCATATTTCATCTCTACCTTTTCGATTTTGTTTTGTATTAAAATAAAATTTTGTTTAAAAGCTTGAGTGTCGGTAAATGGTAGTAGTTTGTCTCTTTGGTAATTTATTTCGCTATCTAACATGGATAATTTTTTGCCTTTTTTTAAATTAAGGTTTCCATGAGACCAAAGGAACAAAGTTCTAATTTGTCATTGCATTCTTTCATTTTTTTAAATTTAATTTACTTTTATTGAAGAATTTTGAGTATAACAAAGGATTGCGTATATAAAAAGTTTACAATAGGAATATCAATCATGTACATCGTGTAATAAAGCATTCTTATGTATAAATTTCAGAACAACATTTATCACATTCTTCCTCAACAATATTCCTTTAATGAAGTGTTAAGTAGATGGGAGGGGGGGAGGGGATGATTAGGATTGGGGAGGGAGTGAAAGGAAGGGGTGAGAGAATGGGGGGGGGGAGAAAAGAATCAAGTGGTAAAATACAAAACAATTTTGTTCAACTGACTGTCATGTAGCCCTACACTGGGTAAAACCTGATTCTAACCATTTTCCTCTGTTGACACTACCTTCCGAAGTGAGGAAGCGAGGGTCAAAGGCACCCGATCTGTTATATTTCTTCTCTTGTCGCTTGAATACTTCCACTTTACACATCACATACACTCTGCATTCCCTGAATTCTATTAGCTTAGTCCCTGTGCGTTTATTTATTTCATTAATAAATGTCTACTTAAGCATGTCGGATGTCATTGTTATCTCTATGGGTTAATTCCCTTCTCTTTGGATATGCTTATGTACTTAGTTAGATGTCTATTCTTTAATCTGTGTTCATTGTTAGGATTTCAATTAATTTGATTGTTTTAATTTTTGAGATTTTTTAATTTTTTATTCTTAGTTTTTTGTCGCTCCTCTTACAGAAGGTTTATCGCTCAAGTATGATGTCCATGGTTGCCAAATTTCTATATATCTTGCTGCCTTCCCCACAGACGTCCATCTGAGTTCCTCCATCACTCTTAATTGTTCTACCCTTGTGACCCAATCCCTGTGTCCTATTTGTTTTGTATTTTTCCAGTTGGCTGCTATCACTATTTTAGCAGATGCTAGCATAAACAATAAAAAGGAATATTTAAATTTCCGCATAGGGACATCTATGTTAAGCAGCACCATAGTATCTATTTCACATGGAATTGCCTTTCCAGATACCTCCCTTAGTTTGGAGTTAACCATTTCCCAGAATGGTCTTAAATGACTACAGTGCCACTACATGTGGCCTATGTCTCCATTTTCTTCACCGCATTGCCAACATAGTGAGGGCTCGTCTTGGTGGAACCTGTGTATGTCTTGTGGTGTTTTGTACCATGTCAATAGGATTTTGTAGCTAGTCTCTTGCATAGAGACATTGGGGTGGGCATAAAAAGTCCTGTTGAAAATCTGTTCCCTTTCCCTGTCGTTTAATGAACAGTTTAGGTATTTTTCCCATTTGCGTGTAAACCACGGTAGACCCTGGTGTATATGTGTCTGTAGTATTTCCAGGCATTTGGATATCGCCTTTGCCACTGGTATCGTGCTCATACATAGTTGTTCAAATTTGGTAATGTCTCTTCACATGCCCATCGGGTATGTGAAGAGTTTTTAGGAAATGAGTCATTTGAAAATAGAGGAATCTTTGGGTTAAAGTATGTGTGGTTGTTTTTGTTATATCTGCTAATTTTAACCGTCCTTGGGTGTTCCATACACTATCCAATGGTGTGTATGATGAGTTTTCCATCCGGGTGGTTATTGGGAGGGGGATGCCCTTGATTCCTATCGGAAACCTCAAGTTATGAGAAATAGGGTATGTTGGTGATATACCTGGGGATATATTGAGTAGGTGGCTATTTTCTTCCACACATGTATAGTGGCATCGATAGAGTGATGGCTAGGGGTGGGGTAGTCCATGGTAAGGCTTCCAAGGGGGTATGTGATATTGTTTGTTCTATAGTGATGCATCGTTTGGATGACAGTTGACATGACCACTCTATTATTCTGGCCATGTGTGTAGCATAGTAATAATGTAAAATGTCTGGTAGTCCTACTCCTCCTCTGTGTTTGGGTCGCGTAAGTATATGGTAAGCAATACGTGGCCTTCTGCCCACCCAAATATATCTTGTAAAGAGTGTTTTGATCGTATTGAAAAAATTATGTGGGATCCTTATAGGGGTTGTGTTCATTAGATAAAGGATGCGAGGGAGAATATTCATGGAGATGACGTTAACCCTTCCTAACCATCGAAGGTGTGGCTTGTCCCAGCATTTAGGATCTGAGGGAAGTTTGCTTGGTATGTGTCTGCTACATTGTAAGTAATATTAATTCCTAGGTATTTAATAGATTTTGTGTTCGAATGGAAGGTGTAATCTCTGCTCAATTTCTCCCTCATCTCCTCCCTCACGTTGATATTGAGAGCTTCACATTTTGTGGTATTAATTTTAAAATTAGAGTAGGAGCTGTATTTTGTTAAGGTCTCCATTAGTGGTCTTAATGAATTGAGGGGGTTTGTAATCGTGAAAATGAGATCATTAGCGAATGCTGATACTTTGTATGAATGTGAACCTATCGTAATGCCCTTTATATTCATATCCATCCTAACCGCCTGAATTAGAGGTTCCAGGGCTAATATAAACAATAAGGGTGACAGAGGGCACTCCTGTCTGGTTCCGTTTGTTATGGCCACGGAGTCCGAAAGTATACCATTCACTTTTATCTGGGCTGTGGGCTTGGAGTAAATTGTACCGAATAATGTCTGCCAGTTGGGTCCGAAGCCCAGGACGTCAAGGGTCATCTTTAGAAAGGGCCAGTCCACCCTGTCAAACGCTTTTTCTGCGTCAATTGCTAACAATCTAAGACTTTAGTAGTGTTGTCCCTGGCTTCCCTATTCGGCACAAACCCAGCCTGATCTGGGTGAATCAATTTGCTCAAGAGTGGTCTCAATCTCATTGCCATCATTTTAGTTAAGATCTTGATGTCAACATTTATCAGGGATATAGGCCTATAGCTGTCACAAATCTCTGGGTTTTTCCCTGCTTTATGTAAAACAGTTATGGTAGCTTCCAGGCTAGATTGGGCTAATGATGTGTTTTGGGTTCAGATAATTCAGAGTCTCCAGAAGGTGGGGTGACAGTTCGTCAATGAAAGTTTGATAATACGTTGCCGAAAACCCATCTGGGCCCGTAGCCTTATTGTGTGGGGTTTTGCGTATTGCTTGTTGTAGTTCCTCTATCGTGAAGGGTGTATCTAATCATTGGGAATCTATATTTGAAAGCTTTCTCCGTGTGTTTCTCTGAATATTGTCGCATAACCTCTTTTTCTGGCAGGGCATGATGTAGGTTATACAGAGAGTCATAGAATTTACAAAATTCTTAAGCAATATCCTCAGCTGTATGTGCCAAAGTGCCGTCTGCCCTTCTCATTTTGGGTATGTAAGTGCGTTGTTGTTGCTCTTTGAGCGCAGAAGCTAAAAGTCTTCCGCATCTATCTCTGTGTGTGTAATATCTCTGTTTGGACCACAGCATAGCTTTTTTAGTTGTGTCGTTTGGTAGTATTTTCAGTTCTGATCTTAGGGACATTAACTTAGCAAAATCTGATTCTGAGAGAGATGTTTTGTGGGATTCTTCTAGTGTTTTAATATCTTGATATAGTTTCTTTCTAGTTTTGGATTTCTCCCTTTTCAGGTGGGATCCCCATTTAATTAATTCCCCTCGGATGACACATTTATGGGCTTCCCACTGTATAGTGGATGAAGTGTCTGGGGTTTTATTGGTATCGAAGTATTGATGATTGCATGTTTCTATTGCTTTTCGTGTCGGTGTATTCGGTAATAAGTGGGGATTGAGTTTCCATTGGTATTTCGTCATGGGTACTGTTAGTATGGATACCCATAGGTATATAGGGGCATGGTCCGACCATGTTATATTGCCAATAGTGGCTTTGCGTTTGAGAGTCAGATCTTTATGTGTGGTAAGGAATAAATCAATGCGCGTGTATGTATGATTCGGGTTAGAATAGAATGTGTAGTGTTTCGTGTTGGGGTTCAGTACCCTCCAACAGTCTATGAGTTGATTGTCATGGAGTATTTTACGCATCTGAGATCTTGCTTAGGCCAGATGTGCTGGGCATTGTGATGCACTGTCCCATTGGGCATCCGAGGACATATTAAAGTCCCCTCCTACGATAATACCCTCTGCGGACTTCCTGACCTTTGTAACTAAACGTCTCAAGGCGGCACATTGGTGAGTGTTGGTAAACATATATTAACTAGCGTGATCGAGAACTTCCTATGTGTTCTATTAAAATAATGTATCGCCCCAAGTCGTCAGCTACCTGCTGCGATAAAATAAAAGGGACCTGAGCCCCTATTAGAATGGCCACTCCTCTAGATTTTTTAAGCTTAAAGTTGTTATAGAAATAGAATGGGAATTGTTTATGTCGTAATTTTGGTGCTTCTCTGCCCCTAAAATGGGTTTCTTGTAAAAATACAATGTCTGCCTTCATTTTGTGAAATTCTCTCATTGCCATGTGTCTTTTTTCTGGTGAATTGAGACCTTTAACATTGTATGAGATTATCTGTAGTTGTTTGTCCATGTTAAATCTTATTAGATAGAGAACTTTAAACCCGATGAAGTTCAGTCAGCTTAGTTTCCTTAAGGAATATCTCACTTTCTCATCTTGAACAAAGTAAACCAAAATTAGAAACTATTTACAATAACAAAACTTAAAAGATTGCTATTGGTAGCAATAAGTTTAGACGCGATTGCATCGGTAAAGGAGTTGGTGTGTATCACTTTTTCCTCCTACTCAGTCGGCTGGTAGGAGTTGGGAAGAATAAACTCAGTATTATATATTGTTAAGGTTATTACACTGCTCTGTCAGGTCAGGTGATTGACTATGTTGGGTGGGGGGTGAATTACTTCTAAAGCTCTCTTATGGTCAAATTTGAGTACCTTTTCCTATGTTTAAATGCACTAATGATTTATTTTTTTTTTTTAAATGTGTGGGTGGTTATCTTATAGCACTTCAGCGCTCCTGGTGCCCAGATTCTTTGTTTGTAGATTAAGTGGGTATACGACCCGATTACTTTACATGTAGTTTGTTGATATAAGCATCTAACAAATGGGAAGTGATTAGATAAAATAATCATGGGAGTTGTATGTCTCGATGTACCGATTACAATCATATCACTACCCCCCACAGGAATGGGTTTACTATTCTTCTATACATGAATCATATATATTGCATATTAACGTAATCATACCAAATCAACAGTTATCATAACATTTTCTGCCCATTTCCCTCTACTTCTCCCCCCTTGCAAGCAAATCACCTTACCATTACATAAAAGACTTGTGGTCCCCTAACTTCTGAATGACTGCCCAGTGGTGTTGGGCATTCATGTCTGGATGTTCTGGAATTTGGTGCGAGGGTCCCTAAACATGGGATTGCCAGTGGGGGAATAAGGGAGTTATTGTGGGGCGCCCTGAGGCCATTCATCTACTGCGTATTAGTTCCCTTCCATTTGTCCCTTTCCCTATTTATACGATATCCATTTTGTCACAAACGTCCAGTTTGCAGATTAAGTCTGGTTGCTGCATGTTTTAAGAATTAGTCCTGGATCATTGTGTCACCGATTATGACACTGAAAGTTCTCTTCTTGGTCTTGTGTTCGGTTGTTGTGAGGACTGTCTGGACGTGAGCCTCTTGGATCCGGTAGGGGATCGTCTCCGCTACCTCTGAGGTTGCAGTAGAGTCGCTTGATAGGAGGTCTCTGCATACCAGTCTAGTACATTCACTTGAGGTAGTCCGAGTTTTCGAAGGAACTCCGGAGTATCCGCTGCTGACCTTAAAGTGATTGTGTTACCGTCCTTGATCACCGTCAGTAAGAACGGGTATACCCACCGGTATTTTATATTGCGATCCTGCAGCATTCCCATGATGGGGCGTAATAGTCTTCGGCCTTGCAAGGTAGACCATGCCAGATCCGGAAATAGTTGCAGTTGAATATTTCTCTGTGTCATTGCTGGTGAGTTCTTTGATAGTTTGAGTCCTTTAATGTAAAATAATGGACTCTGCATATGATGTCTCTTGGTTTATCGGTCTAAGTGTCCTGTGAGCCCGGTCTAGCAGGACAGAAGTGTCCGCGGGTCTCTGAAGGATGTTGTTGAATAATGCCTGTAATTTAGCCCGTAGGTCCTCTGAGGCTTCCTGTGTTTCCGGTAGGCTTCTCAGGCGTAGGTTATTCCACCGGCTCCTATTATCTAATTCTTCAAAGTTTCTGGCCATATTAATGTATTTTAATTCTATTGCCCCCTGTGCTGTTTCCAGAGGTTTAATTGCTTCAATTGTGCGTAAGTTTTCATCTTCCAGCTCTCCCACTCTTTGCCCCACATGGTGCACGTCTCTGGCAATGTCGGATATCTTATCTTGCATTGATTCTTCCAATTTTGCCAGCATAGATACCAGGTCTGTTTTGGAGGGTAAGTTTTGTAGCAGTTCCCTAATTTCTGAGTCTTTGATGACAGATTGTTCTGAAGAAGCCGGGCTCAGAGGAGGTGAGCCAGATTCTCGTGGGGCCGCTGCCATGTTGCTATCTTAGTCTTGCGTCAGGGCCTTCACTTTTTCTTGGAAGTACCTATCCAGGTCTCCCAATTTCTTGCTGGAGCCTTGCTCCATGTAGTCCTGAGAGGCTGTGGATTTCTTTTTATTCCCCATCGAGGGTTATGTAGTATGGTTGCTGGGTCTTTGTTGTGTAGGTGCCGGGAGCGCGACAGCTATGCGATCGCTCACATGGAGTATCAGGATACGCCCCCCGTATTCTTTCATTTTAATTCCAGAATTCAGCAAGAATTTTATTAACTTTTTAGACTTACAAATTTTTATACAAGATGGCATTATTCATACGAAAACTTTTTTTGATCTGTGCCAAAACTATCATTGATAAAACAAGCTGTCACCATAGACTTATTTTAATTGATAAAAAATATTCAGCAGATAACCTGAATAGAACTTTAACGTCAATCTACCAAACAAAAAGATCAGACATCTTAGACTATAAGGTTAAAGATAATAAGAACTCGACTTTTATGCCAGTCATTTTTAATTTTAATAATCAAAGTAATAAAGTGAGAAAAATCATTAATAAATATTGCCACGTTTTAAAACAAGATGATATTTTAAAGGATTTTATTCCAGATAAGCCAAAACGTTGTTTTTAGAGGAGCCCCAAATTTCAGATCTATTCTAACCACAAACTACACTAAGACTAAAACCAGCCATTTCTCATCTTTCTTATCACAAGCCAAAGGTTTTTTTTTAAATGTAATAGATGTACGGTAATTTCTAATTCATGATAAAAAACCAAAGCATCTAAAATGTATAGGAATTTAGAAATGTAAAATCCCTTGGAGAGGTGGCGATCTTAAAAAAAAAATGTAGGCCAAAAAGGAATGAATTGGGTTCTTAATTTAAAACCCTGGCATCAAAAGGCCTGAATGTAGATTTTGACCTTTTTAACTTTGTATAACTTTTTAAGAAATCATCCTATACGATATTTTTTTTTTTTTTTACACACCTTTATATGGTTTATTCCTATACATATACATTTTAAGTTTAACTCTCAGGCATTCACATTTTTATTAAAAAAACTGATATAATTAACTGTACATACGTTCTCAGTTTTATTGCTTTATATATCTACTGTCTTATATATAACTTGATTTTATATTTAATTTTACATTCTGCGTATCCTGTAATGGTGTACAGTTTTAAGTGTATAAATTCTTATGTACAGTCAGGTCCATAAATATTGAGACATCGACACAATTCTAATCTTTTTGGCTCTATACACCAACACAATGGGTTTGAAATGAAACAAACAAGATGTGCTTTCACTGCAGACTTTAAGCTTTAATTTGAGGGTATTTACATCCAAATCAGGTGAACGGTGTAGGAATTACAACAGTTTGTATATGTGCCTCCCACTTTTTAAGGGACCAAAAGTAATGGGACAGATTAACAGTCATAAATCAAACTTTCACTTTTTAATACATGGTTGCAAATCCTTTGCAGTCAATTACAGCCTGAAGTCTGGAACGCATAGACATCACCAGACGCTGGGTTTCATCCCTGGTGATGCTCTGCCAGGCCTCTACTGCAACTGTCTTCAGTTCCTGCTTGTTCTTGGGGCATTTTCCCTTCAGTTTTGTCTTCATCAAGTGAAATGCATGCTCAATCAGATTCAGGTCAGGTGATTGACTTGGCCATTGCATAACATTCCACTTCTTTACCTTAAAAAAATATTTGGTTGCTATTGCAGTATGTTTCGGGTCATTGTCCATCTGCACTATGAAGCGCCGTCCAATGAGTTCTGAAGCATTTGGCTGAATATGAGCAGAAACACTTCAGAATTCATCCTGCTGCTTTTGTCAGCAGTCACATCATCAATAAATACAAGAGAACCAGTTCCATTGGCAGCCATACATGCCCACGCCATGACACTACCACCACCATGCTTCACTGATGAGGTGGTGTGCTTTGGATCATGAGCAGTTCTTTTCCTTCTCCATACTCTTCTCATTACTCTGGTACAAGTTGATCTTGGTCTCATCTGTCCATAGCATGTTGTTCCAGAACTGTGAAGGCTTTTTTATATGTTGTTTGGCAAACTCTAATCTGACCTTCCTGTTTTTGAGGCTCACCAATGGTTTACATCTTGTGGTGAGCCCTCTGTATCCACTCTGGTGAAGTCTTCTCTTGATTGTTGACTATGACACACATACTCCTGGAGAGTGTTCTTGATCTGGCCAACTGCTGTGAAGGGTATTTTCTTCACCAGGGAAAGAATTCTTCGGTCATCCACCACAGTTGTTTTCTGTGGTCTTCCGGGTCTTTTGGTGTTGCTGAGCTCACCGGTGCGTTCTTTCTTTTTAAGGATGTTCCAAACAGTTGATTTGGCCACACCTAATGTTTTTGCTATCTCTCTGATGGGTTTGTTTTGTTTTTTCAGCCTAATGATGGCTTGCTTCACTGATAGTGACAGCTCTTTGGATCTCATATTGAGAGTTGACAGCAACAGATTCCAAATGCAAATAGCACACTTGAAATGAACTCTGGACCTTTTATCTGCCCCTTGTAAATGGGATAATGAGGGAATAACACACACTGGCCATGGAACAGCTGAGCAGCCAATTGTCCCATTACTTTTGGTCCCTTGAAAAGTGGGAGGCACATATACAAAGTGTTGTAATTCCTACACTGTTCACCTAATTTGGATGTAAATACCCTCAAATTAAAGCTGAAAGTCTGCAGTTAAAGCACATCTTGTTTGTTTCATTTCAAATCCATTGTGGTGGTGTATAGAGCCAAAAAGATTAGAATCGTGTTGATGTCCCAATATTTATGGACCTGACTGTATATGTATATCCATGTGCAATGTATTCCTGGCCGTTGCTAACCTTGCCCACAATTCCTATCCTTATTCTAAGGGCCTATTGAGCCTGTCCACCTGATCATAATCCCTCTTGTTAGGTAAACCTGATCATAATCCCTCTTGTTAGATAAATCCCTTTGCCTTGGAGGGATGCAGGAATTTAAACTTGCATCCCTCAAGGCTTGGGCATATTCTGCTGGTGGTACATAGGCCCACTGAGCTGATTTTCCAGCTCAAATTTACACTTGCTGAGTCCACTATGTAACAATGTTTTTATCGTTTTTTAGTTTATCTACTTTCTGTTAATATGTCCTTTGAAACATGTCATGTGACCTCTTTTAGGGTCAAAGGTCAAATAAGACACCATTTTCAATTTGCTGATTGCTTGGACACTATATAAACCCACATGTGCCAGGCTAATACTATGTATACTCGAAGAAGCCCCTTGTGGCGAATCGTGTTGTGGACTTTTAATTTGTTTTACTACTGTGTTAATAAAGGTCTTTAGGCTGATTTACATTGAGTGTGCCATTTTACTCTTTTTACTCCGTTATTATTCTTTTATTATTTTATTGCCCTGATTTTACTCATAGCAAGAAATACTCAAGAAATCCTTAGGTGGGGATTATTCCACCCGCGCCATATCCATAGAGCAGTTTGTCTACTCTGGCAAATGTGAGTAATATTCTCTTATTTATTCTTCTGGTTGATTTTATACAGTGAGCACTATTGTTGTTTCTTTTTATTTTTTGGTAGACGCATCATTGAAACCATTCTTCACGTATCCTATAAGTGGGGATTGTACCACTGTACGCCTTTCATACTAGAGCTGATTTAAAGCTCTAAAAAATGTGAGTAGGACAATATATACTTTTATTCTTATTTTTACATTTTCTGGACATACTGCACCATTATCCTCTCCTTTACACATACGGACCGCATCTGATATCCCAACAAGAACATTTTCCTTGAACAAGTTTGTGATTGCTCCTTCGGAAAGTATATACCATCATATTTTATTGGACTCGCTATCTTGGACATATATTCAATAATTTATATTTTATCTTTTATTATTCTATTCATCTTGGTTTTTATTTATTTGTATTTTAGGTCTCTTATTCTATCACATTTTTATTAGTGTATCTATCTACTGTAGACCAATTTAAGGCATCCTATGTTGGCTATAATATTCTCATCAGTGTCTTTTTAGAGTGGCGCTAATCCTCTACATTTTTTTATATTTTGTACGTACCTCACTACTAGAGGGATAGATGGATTCCCTTCCTTTTGGAGGAAAGCTGCCCTAATTTCACTTTTCCCAGTTTGTTCTATCAGCGCTGACACTTTACTACTGTTTCTAACCATTAAAAAGCCCTCTTTACCTGAATCTTAGGTTTATCTCTGTGTACCCGAATACTAAATTTAACTCCACTCTAACCTTAAACATAGTAATCCTAAACACATCATATACCAGAACACTAATAATTATTTGAATCCTCTTAACACTTAGTCACAAAACACCTAATTTAGAAAATGACTGAATTCCAACCAGAAGCACAATTCACAAATTCATTAAGTCCTATTCCAACTGAATCAGCCAGATGCATTTGGTGTCCAGATTTTGCAAGTAAACTATCATTTTAAATACTATTTGTCTGCTGGTCACTAGTCATAGTAGATTGGCTCATTCTTTATCTTGGTCCTGAACCGTCACTATCAGCATCTTCTTTTTGGTGACCTCTTCTTCATTTTGGTGACCTCTGCTATCACCTGACTCACCACTGCCAGGATGAGTACTTAGAAGGAATAATTTTTTCTGGTCTCTTTGGAGTACTCCCTCTCACCAGATGCTGCTGGGCTGTTGCTTTTCATGTCACTTTCCATTTAATGAACTATTATCATGGCTTTACTTTATTTGCTGGCAACCTTTCCTCTGACTTTTGGCAGATATTTCAAGGTTGTCTTTTCAGTAGATTTCTTCCATGCTGTGTATCCTCACAGATCAGATGCAGTTTCCTGATAGAGACTGGGTCATGGTTGTGGTTCAGTCCACCTTAGGATAGAAGGGACTTCCCACCTGTTGCCATCCGTTGTAGCAGACACAGGAGGACTGGTTTTGGGACCCAGACCTATTTTGCCCAAAGTTTGGCCCATCTCCAAAGGGTGAAATACTATTTCCTTTAAGCACTACCTGATTAGAAGTGCAATAGATCTTTCAGACAGAGAGAACACTTTAACAGAAAGGGTATAGTTCCTCCAATCTGTCCACAAATATTAACCAGACACTTGATAAAATGAGGAACAGTGGGGGCGGAGCCTGATAGTCAATGGCACCAGATGTGTGAATCTTGAGCTCTGTCCCCCGGGCATAGAATCCGCATTCATCCGCATTTGTACTACGGACCACTTTTTCACACCCCCACACATGCAGACACCCCTCGAACTACATCCCAGATGGGAGGCAACAGGAAAAAGAGAGATCTGACACCCTCGGTTGCCACGATGTTCCAAGTGCCCAGAGACCGCCGGCCGCCATCTTTGTCGCAAGGCCACACTGATTCAGGCTTGGACTCTGATGATGGCGGGCAACACACTGACCCAGACACCCCGCTTACCAAAGGGGACCTCCGCCAGCTCCTGCGGGAAGCAACGAGCAACATCAAAGCCTACGCGGCTGTGGAGCTCGAGAAACACATCACAAGCCTGCGCACTGATATCGAGACGCTCACAGCTAGGACGAACCAAGCAGAAACTCACCTCACCGAAGCCTCCAGGAGATCACAGTTCCATGACCAGGAAATCTCCCGCCTACATGAAAAAAATACAGCAACTGGAGGACGGCGTGGGAGACCTCAATAACTGCTCCAGCCGGAACAACATCAGGCTCCGAGGCCTACCATAGGTCACATGTTCAGAGCTATGCTACCGGAGACCTCTGACAATGAGCTCGCGATCAAAAGGGCTCATAGGGTACTGTGACCCCCAGCATTTAACCCCACTGCACCTCGGGACGTTATCCTGACGATGCAGCACTTTACCACCAAAGAACAGCTAATGGGGCTCGTCAGAGCACAACCTCCCCAAGTGCAAGGCCACGCGGTCCAGTTCTTCCAGAATCTGGCACCTTCAACCCTGAGGAAGCGTAGGGAGCTAAAACCATTAACCACGGCCCTCACCTAACAGGGCTGGCGTTATATGTGGGCACACCCCTTCAAACTGACCGCAAGGAAGGACAATCTTTCTCACACACAGTTCCATGTAGCAGACATGGTTGACTTCGCCGAAATGAGGAACAGTACTGCTTTATTGAAACACACACAGTTTTTATACATGATGTTGTTATGTACAGTACAGACAAGTCATGGTAACCAATCACTCTAACAAGTTTAGTTAAATTAGAGTGAGAATTAATGGAGGGACATGTTTACATGGAAGACTGGGGACGGACAATGATAAGGGATGTGGACCATATGAGAGACTGACAAGGGGATGGCAGAGAAGCCTGGAATTATTTAGGCAACCTCTTCCTAAAACAATGTTGCTGGAAAAACAACAATGCATCGATGAGTTGAATAGGAAAACAAAGAATGAACACTCAATATATTTAAATTAAGTCCAATTACACACTATAGAAAGTCCGAAGTCATTTAAACTGGATGGTTAGCATTAGTATCTGTTGAGTCCAATTTCAGCCATAAAAAAAGGGTCCATGAACACTTCTCCAAAATCCATATTGACTCTGTTTAATGGCTTTAGATGGAATGGGAGAAATCCATTTAAAGGTCAGGCAGCTGCTGTTTTCCTCTGAGGATATCTCTCTATATTCACATGTCATAATTAACTTCTTAGTGATAGATATAGAGATATATATAGAGATATATATATATATATATATATATATATATATATATATATATACATACATATACACACACACACATTACATGTGTCAGGTTGTCCCTGGGAGTGTGATAAGGAGCTCAAAGACAGTGGATGGCACACCTGATAATAAATTTGTCATGGAGATTTAAGGAATCCTTTAAACCTCAAAGACATTATAAGTAACACTCAGTTAAGTGGTTATGGTGCATTGTGTTAAGCCATTTTGTCTGATGTTTCTCCTCTTGTGCTAATGTTGAAGTTTTAGTCTATGACAGCCTGCACATATCAAGTAAAAATTAAAAAAAATGCTTACATTCACTTAAAAGGGCTGAAAGTGACAGACTGAGACTGTCAGTTGACACTCTTAGTGTATCACTGCTGCCCTGCCTTTACTCTTGTTAATGTTTCCATATTACCCTGAGCACAAGAAGAGAGGGAGCAGACCAAAATGTGGGTACACTTCTTCTATGTCAATCAGTTTGAGAACAGTTTAACACAAGAAAGTAAGGTGGTGCCCGGGGACTCAAAGCACCATAGCCACTTTATTAACATTAAATCGTTATGATGAAGTGTTTATGGCCATGGTTCCTTGTTGCAAAAAAAATACTTTTCAATAATTCCGGGTTTGTGTCAATATTATATAATGTATTTGAAAAGCTGAATACATACACAAATAACTGCAAATTATAAATGCTGCTGCTATTTCAGAAATTAATATGTACTGGATCAATAAAAACAACCACACTTGGTTATCACCTTTTTGTATTATAAGAGTTCTTAAACATTAGCTTAGTTAGTTCCCAGTGGACAAAAAAATTTCAATGTGCACAGTATTTGTATATTTAAAAAAAAAAAAAAAAAGAGCTGCTACTGCAAATTAAATTCAGCATATGTTTGCAGCTTTTGGAATAAGATGCACTCCAGTGGCTTCAAATACATTTGTCTTTATAGATTTGGAAGACTGCATTTTTGTCTGTTTGGCATTACAAAAATTTGAAAGATGCTTTTTTTTTTTATTTCAAACTAAATGAAAATGCTACTTGCAAAAACTAGACATTAGTTTAAATTTTTATATGATACAATAATACATTGCAGATATAATAAAACACTGCTACGTTTATGCTTTGTTAGTGGGATTAGTATATACATTCTGCGCTCTGACTGTCAAGAACTACTAGTACTGAGCTAGTTATTTATTATGTGTTGTGGCACATTAAAGGGACTAAAGACTCAGTGAAGAGGTCTGGGTACAGTGGCTCTGTCCGTTTAACCCTGCAATGGAAAACACCTATTAAAGCCCCTAGAGGGTTATTCACTAAATTCCGAATGGCCCTGAACTGAATATGGCAATATCTGTGCCAAATGAATCAAATCAGGGCTCAAATGCTTCAACTCCAGGTCTGGATTAAAATACAGGCACAATATCTGCCTGTGGGCAGCACTAGCAGCCAGTGGGCAAATAGTAAACACCACTCAGTGGTGCAAGAGTTAATTATGCGGCGGCTGGCCAGCACTTGGTAACGAGCTGTCACAGAAAACTAGTAAAATTATAATTTGTTTTTAAATGAGAAATTTAACTTTTATGAGAAATTGGTGTTTTTTGCATTTTTCACACACAAACAAATACTAACACTAACTTTGGCCAGTGTTTGTGACCAAGTGGCTATTAAAAAAGACTGAACATACCCCATTTGCAATACCTTGGGTTGTCTTCTTTTGCAAATGGTATGCCATCATAGGGGTAATTTCCATTCTTGGGCTACCATAGGGTCTCAAAGGCAACCTAATCAATCTGGCAAATTTTAATGTGAAAAAAATGAAACACACGCCTTATATTTGACGCTGTAACTTTTGAAAACACCATAAAACCTGTACATGAGGGGTACTGTTGTACTCAGGAGACTTCGCTGAACACAAATATTTGTGTTTCAAACAGTAAAAAGTATCACAGGGATTACTGTATTTTCTGGCGTATAAGATGGCTTTTTAACCCTGGAAAATCTTCTCCAAAGTCGGGGGTCGTCTTATATGCCGGGTATAGGGTCTATATGGCTGCCGGGGGCGCCCTGCGCCCCCATCGCTGGCCCTTCTAATGCTGCAGCCCCCTGAGCACTCTATAGAGAGCGCTAAGACGGCTTCCGTACTGCCTCTCTTCTCACCTCCCCTTCCCTGTGCAGAGTGGGTGGCCGAGCTTCTCTTCGTCCTGTCAGTCCGGCCGGGTACCGCGCGGTACAGGAGATTCAGTTACCTGTTCCCGGCCGGACTGAAAGGAAGTGCACACTGAGTGCTCACTTCCTTACAGTCCGGCCGGGAACAGGTAACTGAATCTCCTGTACTGCAAGGTACCCGGCAGAACTGACAGGACGAAGAGGAGCTCGGCCACCCACTCTGCACAGGGAAGGGGAGGTGATAAGAATGTAGGGAGGATTGGGGGGGAGGGGGAGTAAAAAGAATGGGGGGGGAGTAAAAAGAATGGAGGGGGGAGTAAAAAGAATGGAGGGGGGGTAAAAAGAATATATTGCAATTAGCCTCCTGTGTGCTAGACAAGCAGGCATGGATTATATTCCCAAACAGCCTGGCACATACCTGGGCTTTAAATGCTATTTCAGATTATCATTATTTAATGTCTTGCTGTGTAGCTCTGTCTGCTCACTGTACATCATGGCTAATTTTTATTAGGTGTGCATTGGAAGAGGGGTAGTCTTATACGGCGAGTATATCCCAAACTCTATATTTTAACTGGAAAAGTTGGGGGTCGTCTTATACACCCAGTCGTCTTATACGCCGGAAAATACAGTAGGTGTGCGCACGCCTATGATTTTAACATAACTACAGTCTGATAAAATATAATAAAAACATAATAAAAATAAGATGGCTTTCTGATTCTATGTTTATAGTGATGAGTATACAGGGGAGGGCTTGCAGCCTTTTGCCTGGGGGGCAAATCCAGTCAAGTGGCCCATTGCACCCAAGAGGCGAGTAAAAACACATTTTCCATGTGATTGAAAGGGGGGAGGGCAGTCATCTAAACAGACGCACTCACTGACCGGCACACACAGTCACTGACAGACATACACACACACACACACACACAAGGGCACAGGGCTGAGAAAGGAGGGCAGGGGCTGAGAAAGGGGGGGCAGGGGCTGAGGAAGGGGATCCAAAAAACCTAAAGTGTATTGCCCCCCTTCCTGAGTCTTACCTTAGGCCAGGGAGGGGTGGGCAGCAGCCAGCAGGAGCAGCAACCAGCATACAGCAGCAGCAATCAGTAAAGTCGGCCTCTCCTGATGATGACTCCCCAGCGGTCCTGTGAGAAGTGCAGTGGAAGTCATGCCCCCTCCTCCTGACATCATCAGGAAGAGGCCGGCCGACTCCACTGGCTGGAGGCTGCAGGGAGAGTGAGGTTAAGTTGAAAAATCCCCAGCCAGGGGATTTGGATTTTTTTTATTTTTTCGCTGGATGCGGGCGGCCTGGGGGGCAATTGCCTCCCGGCCCCCCATCCCAGTCTGCCCCTGCGAGTATAGTGATATCTACTTTGGTCTTTCCAGAGGAGATCTTGAATAGACTTGGTCTACAGCCCACACAGGAATACGCGCCCAGCCCAAAAACCCAGTTCCCTCCACTGCCTTTTTTTTTAATTGAGACCTTGCATCCCGTTTTTTTTTAATTGAGACCTTGGCACTTTAATGTGGCTCAGGAGGCCTTCTCCAGAAGATGAATGTCTGAGTTGATTATTTTGGGCTAACAAATAAATATTTTCTACCAAAGCTGTTATTCTAATATGCTTACTTTAAAGGGTTATTCCAACATGGATATTTATATTTAAAATGCCTTATTGCGCACTATTAATTAAGCCACACCTCTACATTTTGCAGTAAAACAACAAGCAAAAAAAAAATAGTTTACTTACCTGAAATTCAGCAACTGACACTGCCTTCCAATCCTCTTCCAATGTCAGCCACGTGATGTGATATAAA